GCTCGGGGCTCCACGCAGCGCATTTCGCTCGGGCGCTGCCCCAGGCGCTCTGGCAGCCCTCGGACATCGACCCCCGGGCTCTGCGCAGGTGAGTCCCGGGGTGGTGACATCCCACGGACCCGCGGCCCCGGTTCCCTGCTCCCCGTTTTATTTATTTTTTTATTATTATTTATTTATTTTATTTCGTTTGGGGATTTGGGGAAAACCCCAGTATCCAAATCTCCTGCAGTCCGGGCTCTCCTGCTTTTTTTCCTCCAGGAAAATCCCAGTATCCTACTCTTGGATGAGCTGGATGCGTATTTTTTCCCAGAAAAGACCCACTCAGCAGTGGGCTCCACAGCCTGGGCAGGCTCCACACTTAATTTCTTTTTTCAGGAAAAACCCAGTAGCCAGGTCTCCAGAAGCCCAGGCTCCCCCACTCGGTGCTGTATTCTTTCCAGGAAAACCCCAATATCCTGCTCTCAGATGAGTTTAATGTGTATTTTTTTCTCAGCAAAGACCCCTTGGACATCCCAGGCTCTGTCCTGCTGCTTTATTTTTTCCAGGCAAACCACAATACTCAACTCTTGCCCAGCTCAGGCTCCCCAAGTCAATACTTACTATATTTTTTTTCAGTAAATCCCCAATATCCAACTCCCAAACGACCCATGCTCCCCAGCTCAGGACTTTATTTCTCCCAGAAAACTCCCCAAATCCCGCTTTCCACCGTAGAAAAAACCATAAGCCTGGTGAGGAGGTGCTGGAACCAGCACTGTCCAGGGGGAGTTTTGTGCTGCCCACCCAGCACCTCCCACCAGGGTAAAAATAATCCCCAAGCTGGGAGGCTGCAGAAGCTGAGGCCTGGGTGGTGAATGTGCCAGAAAGTGTGTAAATGACACCGAAATCAGGAGGTGCTGATGCAGTGGTGCCAGTGGGGTGCCCCATAAGGGGAGGGTGCTCCAAAATTGAGGAGTTTAGGCCCTGGTGGTTGTCCAGGTGCTTCCAGTTCTCCATCTGCCAGCTGGAAGGGCTGGGCAAAGAGCCCCCAGGCTGGGCTGCACCCACATCCGAGTTGTTCCACGTCCATCCAGGGCTTTGTTCCTGCCTCAGAGGGTGCTGGGGGGCGCAGGGAGCGGGCCCAGCTCGGCTTCAGGTGGGGTTTGGTGCCCACAGCATTGCTGCCTATGTGGAGGCCACGCAGCTGCCCAACCTGCTGCCCCCCATCCTGCTGGACGTGTCAAAGGGCTGGGAGACCTGGGGGGGCACCCAGCCCGCCACCCTCGACCTCCTCGTCAGCATCAACATGATTCACATCACAGAGCTGCGGTGCACCGAGGTGAGCGGCCCTGGACAGCCCCTGTGCCCTGCCAGGGCCGAGGGGAGCTCCGGGGGGGCTCCCGGGGGGTGTCCCCGGCCCCCTGACCCCGGCCCCACCTCTCTCGTTCCCCAGGGCCTGTTCAGGGGTGCCGGGGTGCTGCTGAAGCCCGGAGGTTTGCTCTTCACCTATGGGGTGGGTCACTGTCCT